CGAGAGGGAAGAAATTTCCACCTGGAGTGGTTAATGATATTTCTAGAAATGGTTTCTGACTGCTGCCAGGTGTCGTTTGGAAATGCAGCAATTTCTATATTTATTGTCACCAGGTGAAGACGCGGGTCAGGCTGGGGAGCCGAGTCTAAGCCAGAAAAAAAAGGGGACAATAACTCCAAAAGCAGAAGGCGGAGCAGGCTGGGGAGGGTGGGGGGAGAATCGGGCAGAGAAAACCAAGGTGTTTCCAAGGAAAGAAGGGAAAACGGGAAGACATAAATGCGCACGGGGGGAGGGGGGAGAGCCCTGGGGAACTTGCCCCGAAAGAAGACGGAGAAAGAGGTTAATAGTTTAGAGGGAGGCGGGAAAATAGCGGAACTGCAGAAGAGGAAAATTGCAAATGAAAAGAGTGGGAGCACAAGAAACTGAGGGGTGCAGTTGCCCAACTCAGCCCCCAGGAAGGGAGTTTGCAAGGACAGCGTGAAGAATATCACTGGAAACGAAAATACGACATGCAATAAGGCTCCGTCATTTTACCCTTCTTAGTACCATTACTGAACCTTTAGCATTCGTGAGAATACTACAATAACACTACCAAAAGCCCATTCCCAACGTGGACTGGAGTAGCCCGTTCCCGCGGCTCTTTCAGAACTCCGGCACCCAAAGTGGGAAAAACCGAACAAACGCAGCGCTCTCAACGCGGACCCCCCCAGCCTTACCACAGAGAATCTAGGTCCCATTCCTGCAGAAGCGCCAAATCGAAGCTGTCCATGGTGAAACCAAGGGAGCTGGAAGATGTCAGCGCCGCTCAGCTACAGCCGCGCGGCGGCCACTGCGCCTCTTCGCAGCGCCGCGGGTGGGCGCACAGCGGGGAGCCGGAGCTCGCGCGGCCCCTCCCTCGCTGCCCGCCTCTTCCCCGGCTAGAGAAAGACGCAGTGACTGGAGGTGTCTCTCTCCCCCCGCCACCTCCCCTTCCCTCTGTCGGCCCGCGACCGCCGCTCTTCTTCGGCGCGCTTCTTCTCCTTCGGCTGCCTGCCGCCTCTCTCGCTTCCCTTTCCCCTCCTCCACCCCCCCTCCTCCCGCCCGCCCGCTTGCTCTCTAGGCCCAGCGCGGGGATGCGTGTATGCAGCGTGTGACTCTCTCAGGCTGGCGCGCTCGCTGAGGTTGCTGCAGGAGAACCTCCCGACGGCTCCTCGGGGGTGGCTTGAAAAATAAACAAACCGAGCCGAGACGCCGCGAGTTATCTGTCTCTGCCCGCTTTTGTTTCCTTGCCTCGACTTCAGTCCTCGTGCTGGGTTGTTTTTTTTGTTTTTTGTATTGTTTAAATGCCACTGAAAATACGCATGTCTCAGCCGCCGAGGGTGGCAAAGCCGTCTTCGTTCAGGAGAAAGGGTTGCGTTGAAGGGGAAGGAAAGGGACGGGATTGATTAAGGTGACCTTTGCTTTCTCGGGCATCCTTCTCTACCCTGGCCCTGCTCAAATATTTTCTCAGAAGCCTCTTCTGGGGCAAATAGAACATCTGACCTTTAGATTGGGAAACAGCAGGACAGGCTAAGGACCCCAGACCTTACCTTACCCACCTTTCCTAAGTGCCCCCATCAAGTTGCAAAGAAGCAAATAATAACGCAAAAGCATGTTTTGGACAGATAGACGTGACTGAAGGAGGGAATCATTAGCTAGGCAAATTAACAAAGAGTCCTCAGATGTGTGGCTTGGTACTTTGGAGCAGTATTCAAGGAAGGAAGAACTCCAGGTTACTTGTCAAGATCAGACTCTACAGGAACCAATCAGACTGCAGCATCTAGTTTTGGTCACCAACACAAGAGTGGTGCTGAGGAAGTAGAAAGAGTTCAGAGAAAAGCAACAAAAAATGGAAGCTAAATCCTGTAAACCAGTGGTCCCCAACCTTTTTATCGCCGCGGACCAGTCAGCCTTTGATAATTTTACCGTGGCCCGCTGAGCGCGCGCAGGGGTGGGGGGGCGTTGTTCGTGACGACAGCTTTGGGCCACACGTGCGTACCTGCACGGGGCTCTCTTCCCTGGAGCCTTTGCGCACGGCCCAGGAGCCTT